GTGCTTCTAGTAAGGAGTTGGTCTTTACTAGAGGATGCTTTGTGATTTTACCTTTGTAGGGGCTGAGAGACAAAGATTTTACTGTGGCGTACAAAGGGACAAAGGCCTACAGGTGGGAAGAACTGGATGGATAAAGGAGATTTAAATTACGAAAAGAAGAGAAAATTTTATTCTTTTAAAGTGATCCATAATGTCTTCATTTAAGAAGACATTTACCAGAATTTTATTTGCCACCATGAGAGATTCAGAAATCATAGCAAGAGGGAAATAAAAAAAGGTAACAAACTGTGGGAAAGAGGGAAGGATGGGTAGGAAGAACATGGCGTAAGACAGGTGAAAGAAAGAATGTCTAGGAAAACAAAGAGAGTTGCAAAGTAGCTGAATCTTTTGCCCTTTTGTCAATCTTGAGAATTCTTTAGTTTCATATTCTCTGCTTCTTCAGACAGGATATACATTTATAGCCTGTTTACTTAGTAACTGAAACCTTTGCTCCCCACCCCCCTTTGAAGAAATCATGAAATGTGAAATTAGAAGGGAGAAGTTTATTCCCAGACACTTAAAAATGCAAACCTCATCTGGGGGCAGTGTTGAGTTTCAAAATACTCTTAGCAATCTAAAATGATACAACTTTGAGAAAAGCCAGTGTATTCCTCTTGGCTATTAACATTTCTTAGAACTTATTCTGCAACATATTTTGTGATAACAGTGACATTTGAGTGGAAACTACAGCTAGGACAAGTAACAGCAGTTTTTCTTTTCTGTTACAAACCCAGAGCCTTCACACTGTTTTTTCTTTTTGTTTGTGTTTTTTTTTTTTTTTTTTTTGTGCTGGGCATCGAACCCAGGGCCTTCTGCATGCAAGGCAAGAACTCTACCACTTAGCCACATCCCCAGCCCCACATGGAACTACATACCCAGCCCCTTTTTTAAAATTTTCTGACACAGAACCTTACTAAGTCACTAAGTTGTCCTAACAATTATTTTAGAATGATTTCAATAAGTTAGTAACCTCACATAACCCAATAGTTTCTGGAAATGATGACTATGTTCCCTGAGTTAAAGAATCATCTCCATACATGAAAACTCTCTCTTTGACAGATCTGCAGCAAAGGGGCGACACGAGACTCAGCTCCCTTTTTGCAGTTCAGGTAACTGAGCAAACTCGTTTCTCCCCGTAGAAGGTGTTGTCTATGAAATGATTCTCTCTTCATAGTGTTGGGCTCAAGAAATTTCTGGAAGCGGAGACCTCCGAAGACAATGCGACTCTCAAAGAGTATTTAATAAATACATTACTAGGCTGCATTGTCCACTAGAAAAATGAGGCAACAATCAGGGGCTGGGGATTTATTCAGCGGCACAGCACCTGCCTGGCAAGCGCGACATTGTGAGATCGATTCCCGGTACCGGGAAAAAAAAAAAAAAAAAAAAAAAAGAACCAGGTAAAACATGAAAGGAGAAAGCTATAAAAGAAACAAGTATTTCTGTAGCCAAAATTGAAGATTATTTCTAAAACTAATGAAATTATTTATTAAATCTATCCAAGTATCTTCTACATAATACTAATTCAATAGCTGCTGAAAAACTGGTCACCTAAAAGAATAAAATATAAAATGGGGGTTATTTACCAGAAAGTACTTGTTTGGAACTGCATTAGGTCTTCTTTGACCCAGTGACTGAGTGAAAAATCTGCAATAATTGTAAATGACAATAGCAATATACAACCCTGTGCATTAGACAGTCAGAGGATCCAATATATCTAGGTGAGTTGACCGAGTTCAAAAGGCTTTCGCTGAGAGTGAAGAACATGTTGATTTAGGTCTGTCACCCTCTGTTAGGCAGTCCCCACCCCAGGAAAGTCTTATTAAATTGGACTGAGGTGAAACCCAAATATTTATGTGACTTTAAATCTACAGACCTACTTCTAATATTCAGACAAGTTGACAATCCCTGGTATAAATGGTCAGTGTGGGCAGAGAAGAGATAGGTCCAGGGGTGATTAGGGTGTAGGCCTTGAAAAGATGCGTAGTGGCTCCAAAGAGTGCTCCACTGAGGCTAGCTTAGCTTACATTTGAGGTAATAAAGTACCAGAATAGAGTGGCCTCAGCAGGGATGAAAATAGATAAATGACACTCGCTTGTAGATGAGCTTTGATGTTAGACAGACCCAGAGTGAAACCCGTAGACAAGGTGCAAATCTACTTGCCTTAAAATGCACAGCTATAAAATGGATAACAATTCTACTTGGTGTAGCTTTCTCATAAAAACCGTGGCAACCAAAAGGATGTGGTAGAAGGAAACGCTGAGTTAAACAAAGGAAAAGTAGATAGAAGCAGAAAGAGAGACTCACCTCGAGGAGAACAAAGGCAAGATACATACCTCAAGGGTTTGTAAGACTATATTATTAGAGAACTAAATCCTTCAAAAATTCGAGGGGCGGGGGCAGGGGTGGGACAATAGGCAGAGTGAAGATATCCCCGTGCGGGATCCTAATACCCTCAGTGACTGTGGACATCATATGCCAGACACAGGAGCTAAGATTGATGAGTATCAACAAGAATGACCAGGGGACAAGGAGAAGTGGAGGAAGAGTGAGGGAGGGAAGTGGATTAAAAAAAAGAAATGAACTGAATTATATGTGAGTATCAATTCCCTGAGATAACTGCAGAATGCACATACTACCAACATGCACTAATAAATAAGAAATATTCCCAATGAAAAATAACATAGATCAATAAGTCACTGTTTTACAGAACAAAATAAATCTAACCCTCTCCCCCTACCCACAACTACTACTCATACATTCCCCCTGCAAATAGATTTTCCAACTTGGAAATGAAACTAGCAGTGCATCGACCAATGTGGGAAAATTAAGAAATGACACGCATGAAGGTTTTCTCAGTATCTTCTAACGTTCATATGAGAAGCAGAAGTGTGTAAGTCTTGTGAGAAAAACCTAAATGAAAATAGGAAGTACAGAGAATAAAAGCCGCATAGATTTGGTAAGAGTTTGTGCTTCCAAATTCTGTTGGCAAAATGACTTTACATAAAAATAATTGAAGTTGTTAGGCTTTCAGATGGATATTACCTACATGGCAGCGCAACACTTAATTTTAAGTTAGAAAGTGATGTTGCTTAGAAATGTATAAAATGACCATGTAGGCGCCTTTTGATTTAGTGCAAATAGAACAGAGTGAAAAGCATGTGAAAAATAAAGATTTATAAAGAGTTGACTCGTAATTAAATTGTCCTTTTATCAAAAGTTATCAGATTAATTTGCGAGGCCAGCTTTTGAAGTGATTTCTAGACATCACTGACCTGAATATTTTTACAATTCCATGTACTGTTGCGTGCTTCCACTCATTTCATTGCTGGCTCTGAGAAATTAGTCATGTTGTGCTATTTTACAGTACAGAAGGTGAGTGAGAGACACGGGACTACGTCCCCAAGGAAATGTGTGCGGCTCACCAGTAGTCAAGACAAGGCTGGGACACAGTTTTCATGAGGTCTGGCCCAGGACATTTCATTTATCTATAGTTATTCCAGTGGTCACTGACCTTTTCAAACCATGTTAAGTAAAAATTATTTCTCGGCTTGATACATGAAACCAAGTACATGAAACCAAGTACATCCTCTTTATGGAATTATATATGACTTGTATTCTGATAAGTATCACTTTTTCTTTCTTTCTTTCTTTTTTTTTTGTATTAGGAATTGAACTCAGGACCTTGCACTTCTCAGGCAGGCATTTGTACTACTGAGCTATATCCCCAGTCCAGTATTACTTTTTAAAATAAACAATAGTTCACATTTTCAGTGTATGCGAGGTGCTAATTTCAGATAAAGCTTGCTTAAATATCGGGGACATGCTACATAATCTGTATCTGACTCAACTTTCTCCCCTACATGAATAATAGTTTAAAGTTTATATTTATGAGGTTTTTATAATGTAAGAATGTGTTTGCTAAACACACAATGGCTTGATAAATGCTATTTACATGATTTCAATATTTAAAATAACTATTTCATAATATATAAGTAAATTTTATTGATTTATTATTTATGACATAAATTATATCTTTTGAAGAATAATAGCTTTGCTATATAACCAAAGGTGCTTTGAAAAATTCAGACTAAAATATGGAAATACATTTATGACATAAATATATGAAAATATCATGCAGTTGTTGAAGTAAGAGAAGTTGATTTTAAAGTTCATGCAGAAAAATGAGGATATAAGCACAGCCAGGAAAACACCATAGAAAAAAATTAGAAATGAGTGTTAGCAAATGCTAAAATTCTTTAACTAAAACTAAGTAGCCCTGGCCCTTGATAAAAACATAGGCAGGTAGGATTGAGTGGAAATTCTAGAAATAAATCTAAGTTAATATGGAACTTTAGGGTATTATTCATATCTTTAGGAACTTTAGGGTATTATTCATATTTAGGGCATGTTCATGTTTTTGTATCTATTTCTAAGTCTCCTGCCAAAACCAAAAATCTGTCATTTCTGGAATCCTCTCCCACAACATTGTCCTGGCAGGTGCCTCTTGATTTCATTCTATGCTTCCAGATATCAATTTTATTCTATACCAACACTCTCTGATCCAACTTTATGTACTGATGGAAATGATCTTAATCTGTCCTCTCCAAGGGGCAGCCATTAGCCATTAGCCACATATGGCTATTGGACCTTTCAAACAGGGTTAGTTTGACTTAGGAACTTATTTTACAGTTCTATTTAATTTTAATTCATTTGTGTGCAAATAGCCACATGAGGCTAGTGGGGATCTGTTGAGATAATTCTTCTATATGCACTGGCTTCCCCCGAACAGGTCCAAGTCTGTTTACACCAGTATCTGTGGTGTTGCATGAGGGATGACTGGTTTTATCTTTCCAGGCCTTATTAATTCTATTACAGATGTTTGGGAGGAGGAGGGCTGGTTACACCCCGAGGTTAACCTCCAAATAGATGACCGAAGGCTCCAGTCCTTTCCCTGGATGCTTAAAATGGCTTGGCGCTGGTCAGACAAGATTGCAAAAATTCACTCTGAACCTCAGAGTGTTGTTCTTGTACAACAGTGAGTAAAAAAACAACAGCGGGTACAAACATGTTTATTCACCTGCTTCAAGGGAACTTCAGCTTTCTTAGTGTTGCCATGTCTTTTCTTAGAGAAATGGGTCTTTGAGGAAGCCATGTAGTCAGTGGTTTTAAATACACACCCACCTCAGGAAAGCAGAACACCAGACTGAGGGTTTCCCAGCCATGCAGGGGGGAAACTCATATTTTGCAAAGAATTTCTAGTAATTTATGTACAAGTCAAAACTACACAGATAACTCTGAGCTAAGTCAAATAAAATGTTAAGCTGCACTCTGGCATGGGACCTTGGGACACAGGTCTCTCATTTGTCTTTCAGTTCTTGCATTGACCTCCGTGGCCTGATGAAAGCTGCTCACCTTCTCGGAGGTTAACCCCTTGATCTGCATGAAGAGGAAGCACTGCATTGTGTAAGTGGGGTTGGGGTTGCGGGTGGTGGTGCTACGGTCTAACACGAGTAAACATCAACAGAGGTCAATTTCCTCCTAGTGTCTTCTCCCACAGGGCTCCACCGTAAAGAACACAATTGCTGCAGGAGATTCTAGAAATCACCATCGAATTAGGAAATGGAGCATGAGATATGCAAAGACAAAAATGATACCAGCAACAGACTAAAAAAGCAGATGACAAAAGCCTGCGCACACCTGCCCCATGCTCGGGCACCACCTTGGAAACTAGTACTTGTTGCCGAAACTCAGAGATGCAGCCATCAGTACTGTGCTGAGTTCCCCCTTCTCACAATGTGGTTCCAGTATTTGCTTTTCAGTTAATTAAAAGCATTACCAGAGTGGTGAAGGACCTATTCAAGCAAATGATTGCAACCACTTTGAATAAAAAATAATGAGTTCAACATCATTTTATCTAGTAGAAGGATAAGTTCTTTGCTGTCAAGTGTTCAGAATGGCCTACATTAGTGTCTCTTGCAATATGCTGCTCTGGCCCAGCTCGAATTTCAACTCAAAATATACATGTGAGTGTTTGCATCTCTGACTTTTCACCAGTGAATCCCTGATGGCAAACAGCTTTCTTCCCTCTGCTTCCCCCATTCTGTTTGGGTGCTCTTTGAACTTCACTATGTCCTCCCTTAGCGATCATAAGAGACGTCTGACTGTGACACAAAGACCTTTGAAATCACACATTAGAGACAATGACACATAAAGTCGGTTATGAGAACTAGCGTGGTGTAGAAATACATTATCAATGCACACATCAGATATTTGCTTAGAAGAAAGCTTTCTAAACTGGTGCATTTGAAGATTCATTTTGTTCATGTCTGACTGCTTATGATTTATAATAGTAAAGCTTCTTTCTATCTCTCTCTTTTAACTGCTGCACTGAAATTTACATAAGTAAATATGTACTGTACAAAACTTTGTGTATGGTTCAGGGCAATTTTACCTCTGTAGAACATTTGGGTTGATCTACAACTTTGCCTACCAGGAAATGGTTTTAAGTGTGATATTTTAGAAAGATAAACTAAAGAATTCTGGTTTTTCTTTTTGTCATAGGAGGTGACAATATGCAAATACAGAGAAAGTGATGTACAGTTCATATTTTATCCTATTTTGGAATATTGTTCTGTGGTGTGACTCTGAGGATGAGTGCTTGTAATATTACAGGAGGCACCAAGTATTGGTGCTCTTGTCTTTGCTGTCATTAAAGAAGCTGGGCTTTAAATATTACCATGAGTCCTCTGATCTCACCAATGTCTCCTTCTGATGTTGCTTCTCCACTGTTTTTCATAATTTTTTACCTTTACATACTTTCTCCCGTTACCAACAACTCATACCTATTCCATGGTGATGTGTTATTTATTTAATTATCCATCCATCTGTCCATCTATCCATTCTATCTGGGGAGAAATCATAGAATGAGATAAGGCTAAAATTAATCACAGAGAAAGAAAGATTCCCATAGGAGGGTTTCGTTCAATGTGCTGGATTTTTGTCTCCATTTTTTCTCTTTGTAGATGCTATTTGGACAAATTCCAGGATGATACCTTCCCTAAACAATAGCTTCCCCACTGAAGCTATTTTATAGTTGATTTTCTTCCTTTACAATTTCACGATTTGGAGCAATATTTCTGGACACTTAACCTCTCACTCCTTCTCAACAGGAATCTCTTTTTGAGAATAACAAAGCTAGGAGGGGAAGCAGGTGTTCAAAGCTTCAGGGGCCACCACTGGGGAAAAAAAAAAGAAAAAGAAGCAGAAAAACGTTCTTCTTCTATCTTTGTAGAATATAATCTTTTTTTAAAAAAATATGCTTTCCTGGGTATTATATTGTCAGGTTTATTCAAATTGCTTAACTGTGAGTGCATGTGACAGCCTTGCCTGAAAATTTCTGAGCGGTTCTGTCTTCTCTTGTTCCTGCTAATGAGAGGGGAGCCCCGTGCAGCACACGCCTGTGTCACGGTGCTTGCCCTGACCCGGGGTAACGGGCTGAACAAGACAGGGACAAAGCTTCCAGGAGCTCATCATTAGTCCTCTATAATTGTCGTCTGTAAGAATCCACAGATCATGAATCAGAAAGTCCAATTTTGAAACAAGTTATTTTTATAATACAGTCTAAGCTATTTTTAAAACCATCCTGTGGCATAAAATAAATTAAAATCATATAGGTCCACTCCTTTTATTTTCTAATTGGATATAAAGTGATCTAAAATGATCTATAGGAATAATTAAACTTTTTAAAGTGATAAATTAGTGAAATTAATGTGGTAATTATTGTGAGACATTGAAATATTAGTACTCTGCATTCAAAAAAAAGTTGGAGAAATTCACTGATGATACTTTTTCTTATTTTTCTCTTACGTTTTATCTTAAATCCTTAAGCATTCTAAATTCTCACTTTATGTAAAAACTAAAATAAATTATTTGATAATTGGGGAAGGGATTAAAAAATAATTAAGATATATACAGTACCAACTCCCCAGGGGGAGATAATCATTATGTACTGCACGCATGCACTGTACTGATAAAAACAAGTTGGTTCAGTATACTTCCTTGATCGAGCACATAAATGTTTCTCAAGTCAGGCTGCATTTCAGATGTCATCTTAAAAAATCCCTTAAACTTAACATTTTATGAACGGAGAATTGAACATTTTCATATATTATTACAAGGTAAATTGGTAGAGTCTCTGTGATAAAAATATTTTAAAGATCCATAAAATTGGACCCAGAAATTCTAGTTCTAAATTTTCTAGTTTATTCTTTGCTCATACAGATATATGCAAATATGTAAAGAAATTAATTGGCATATTTTTATTATACTAAAACATAGAAACAACCCAAATGTCACTATTAGAAAACTCATTATAAAGTAAAATTTTCTGTGTCTATAGTGTGGACTAGATAGAATTATTAAAATAATGAATAAAACAATAAAATGATGCATCCATTAAAACAATAATAAACCTAATATTATGTAGTAATTAACATTTACTAAATAAATGTATAAATCATTTGCTCACAACATTCCTATGATATATGTACATATACTTATTAATTCTGTTTTACAAATAAGAAAACTGAAATAAGAAAACCAAGTGATCCTATTGTGACCAAGGTAGAGAGGCTATTTCACGAACAGAACTAGTCTTATTCTATGTTCTAACCCATATAAACCATGATAGAGGTATGTAAAGTTTGCATCTATTTATAAGAGGGGCTGGGGATATAGCTCAGCGGCACAAGTGCCTGTCAAATGCGAGGTCCAGAGTTGGATCCCCAGTACCAAAAATAAAAAAAAAACTTATAAGAAAAATATTTTAAGAAAAATATATTTTTTGTTTGTTTCTCATTTACTACTCTCTTTAAAATAATTAAAAAATATATTTGGGAAGGAATGTATAGAATCTACATCCTTAATTTATGTAATGAATGTAATTCTTTAAAAATATGCCTTACTAAGTATATTATTGCTTGTTAGTTCATAGAACATGGTGCCATACATTCAATATAAACTTTTCAATAGAGGTAAAGGTGTTTATAAGTTATACATCACAAAGCACGTGTATAATACTGCACTAGTCAATATGGTAGCACATCTTGCTTTTAACATGTGGATCTGCTGAACTGAAATATGTTGTGTGGTTTTTTTGTTGTTGTTGTTTTTGGTTTTTTTTCCGGTACCGGAAATCGAACTCACGACCCTGGGCTTTCCAGGCAGGCTCTGTGCCACTGAGCTAAATCCCCTGCCCCTGAATTGAAATATGTTGTAAATACCAAATCTCACCAGATTTGGAAGATTTAGTATAAAAAGTCATAACTATCTTGCTAATATCTCTATATTAATTTCACGTTGAAATAATATTTTATTAGGTTAAATGAAATATGTTATTTTAATAAATTTCATCTGCCTTTACTTTTGAAAATAAATCTACTAGAAATTTAAAAGTACATTCTATTTCTATTAGATAGTAATTCTGTAAAGCATTCAGGTCTCATTGCATTTCACTTTCCCCCCTCTAGCACTGTTCCTCTAGCACAGTGCCTCTCAGTCTTTGATATATGTTTGAGCCACCTGAGAAACATTCATACAGTAGCATTCCCTCCGGCCCCAAGGTTCCGAGTGAATTGTTTTAGTGTGGGGCTCCAGCATCATTATCTTTTGAAGACTATTCATCTAATAGGGTAAGCCATTCGAATTACTCTAAGTCTAATATGGTTGCTGAGGAGCTTAATTTTCAAAAAGTATTTTTAAAAATAATATCCTAGATGCTAAGTTCTGTTTCTTAACTAGATAGGATTTTTTACTTTGTTGAACAATGCCAAATAAATTGGAAAATGGGATTTTTTTCAGATACATAAATGCCTTTAAAATTGTTGTTTATTTAGATTGTTTCTTAATTATTGTTGGAATAAATAAGTCTTATCTATGTATTACTATTTGTCCTCCAAATTTGACCAAGAAGCAGCATTTAAAGCACTTCATATGTAGGAAACAAAAGATGGTTATGAGTCACTAAGTGTGAGCAAGAGAACTGGGTCAAAGAATATGTCTTTGCAAGTCACAGAAACACATTTTTTGGCCTTTAATAATCCCAGTGCCATATAAATGGGCTATCATAGACATACTGATAGAACCTTTCATGCCATTCTGGATAAACTCTAGCTTTATAAAATGTCACCAAGCTGGGCGTGGTGGTACACCCCTGTAATCCCAGCACTCAGAAGCCTGAGGCAGGAGGATTGTTGTGAGTTCGAGACCAGCCTAGGCTACAAAGTGAGTTCAAGGCCAATCTGAACTGCATAGCAAGACCCTGTCTCAAAAAGACCAATAAATAAATAAATAAATAAATAAATAAACAAAAAAAATGCCAACAAAAGTTGATTCCTATCATATAGTATGATGTTCAATGGAGCCAATATCCAATTTATCTAATTTTCTATCATTTTTTCAAAATT